AGCCCTGCAAGCTCTCTTCCAGATGGAACAAATCGCAAAGACTGTAAGTGTGTTACAAAAATAAGCTAAGGTTTAAGATCTTACATGGCTCTAGCAGGTTACCAGGTTGAGCCTCCCACCCTTCATTCTTCAAATAGAAAAGTTGAAAAAGGCCAACCGTTGGCAATTCTCTTTTTGGTTCTGGACCCCTGTCTAACACATTGGCCCCAGGTGGTTTATTTAGGTTGCCTTATAGTTATCTCTGCTAGTGTAATACATATTTAAAAAAAAGAATATATGTGTGTTGAAATTTTTTATTTTCACTATCTAGTAGATGGCAATGCAACCTGTTTTATCTATTTCTGGGATCAGTGAAGTAAATTATGGTTGACTTAAAAGGACGCTCCAGTCATGCCCACAACTGTTGATTGCATTTGATAGATTTTGGCTTTATATTCATGCTGTATTTTTCTCTACATCTGAATCTCAATAGTTTTCATACAAAGAAAAAAAGTTGCAACCAGGTCCCCTCCAGCCATGCTTTCTTCTTTACAAAGCAACTCAGGTCAGCCAATCAGAGATCAGTGTGACATAATTCCACCCCACAGCCATTCACTTTTCTCTTATCATATGCCCTATCTCCCCTTAGCATAGCTTTGAAATATACAGATAATAATAAGATAATGACTAGTTGTGTGAATTATTCATGCTCGTATTCATTGGGGTAAATCTTAAATGATCTGGCAAAGTCTTTAGATCTTATGAATTCCAGCCTTTGCAACCCTCACCCTTTTTTCCAGAATAATTTCTTCACAGGGAAATAATCAATTAGAGGCATCTCATTGGAGATGCAGGTCTGAGGACTTGAGGAGCTGGTCTGAGGTCTGTGTGAGAGGTGGCAGGGACACTCATGTAGAGCGTGCCTGCCACTTCTGTTAGCTCAGTGGAGCTAATGGAAGTAGGAATGAATCATCCTGGCTCTTTGACTGACATCCAGGGGGTGTTTTCTAGTTAATTTATAAAAGTGTTGTTTTCTCATAGAAATCATCACTTTTATAAAATGGGTTTAAACTAGGATACTCCTCTATCTTTTGGGGTGTGGAGTGGTCCTTTAATCTAAAGACTCAATTCTGCTGTATGTTTCAAGTGTTTCCTGATTTCTATTTTTTCTACTTTGCAGGTAAATCTCCATCTACACCCTACAATTTATTGTCAGGAGTTTCCTCTTCAGCTATCTCTGCAATGGGTGGAGAAAGAAGACCGAGACCAACCTCTGTTGCAACGGTGCTTACTGGGAGCAAGTGAGCCGCCAAAGAGAAGCAGGATGGAGGTTGAGAGTATCTGACTCGCCACGTGTGATTCATTCTAAAATGTGCACTCCAGGATGGACTCAGAGTTTAAAAAAAGGAATTTTTTTATGGCCATATTTTATACTGCAACAAAAAAATGTTTCATGTATTATAAACTGCAATTACTCCAGCACCACCTAAGGAAAATAGTTAATTAACATGGGGTGCGGTGTCTTGCTACTGGACATTATTATTGTTATTATTTTTAGAAAATTTTGCTTTATTCTCTATGTGGGTGTTGGTACTGTATATGTTTTGTTTTTGTTCTTTTTTTCATTAATTGAGGTTTCAACTGGATTATTTAATACTAATTTTGGTGGATTGCTATCAACTATCATTGTAGTAGTATTTACTTTTGAAATAATTTTAATCTGATGCCCTTTTTTGTTGTTCCTACAGAGAGGGAGAAATGTGTGAGTGACAAGTGAAATTCAGGATAGTTTTCCAAAATATATTTTGCTAAAGATAGAACGAAAACTGGTTGAAATAAAAGGTAACTACGAGTGTAAGAATACTCTACATTTTGCACAGTGGTAGGAGTTTGCCAAAAATGGTATAAATAAGGCTTGGCTAACTTGTAGCACTTCAGTTGTTGCAACTTCTATTATTCCACATCAGCCATTGCATTAGGGTGATACTTTTGAAGTCCTTAGTGGATAGAATTGCCCAAAAGCCTGGCTCATTGCCATATATGGAATTTGAATTCCAACATCAACTGGAGAGTCAAAGACTGTCTACCTCTAAGATAAATGCCTTCCACAGAGCTGATATATGCTGGCATACAAATTGCTTCCTCTTTTTACATCCTCCAAAAATATGTCTTGTACTATGTATCCATGGGTAAGTGGGGACCAAGGAGAATATATTTTAAGGGCTCTGGGGTGTTTGTCTTTTGATGTGTTGCTTATAAATGTTTATATGGCATGCTTCAGAGATGAAAGTTTCAGACCCACTTTTTTTGGCTGGAAATGAAATGCACCATATAGCATTCAATTAGGAACAAATATACATTTGAGAAGGTATGAAGATTTAAACGTTTGCTTCCTTAAAGATAAAAAGAAACTATCATGATTTTTTTTAATCACCCCTATAATTTATAATCTAGAGTTGCATCATAATAAATGATAGTTTTATGTATTTATGTGTATCTGTCTCTTGGTGACAGTTGCATTTTAAATACAATAAAATATAATATATAAATACAGCTGTACAAATTGTTAGCAAATGTAAGTTTGCAAGTAATTTAAAATAACTGGAGAGTAGTGTGTGTGTGTGTGTGTGTGTGTGTGTATGCAATGCACGCACTGCATTGTGGGGTGTTTCAAACAGGGTATTTTGGATGCATCTTCCTCAGTGGCGTGGAAGTATTCATAGGAACTATGTGGTATCACCGGCTAGTAAGTATCACCCTTCCTCAAACCATTGCTTTGGGAAGAACCTGGTCCTGGATAAAGTGGCTGGCTAAATGAAGGAAGTGGGCTGAGATAAACATTACTTCCCACTGCAATGCCTCAGAGGTCTGGAAATCATGTGCCATACTGAGTGCTTAGTTCCAACTGGGAAAATTCACAGGTATGAATAAAAATAGTTTGCATACTTTCTAATAGCTCCAAAAAGATGCATTTGAGCTCTACATGTCCTAGCTTTTTGGCAAGCATTATGCGTATATTGGATTTTATATAGACTTCTCATTCATAATACTTGTGAATGGCAAGCAAACTAGATGTGTATTTAACCTGCAAATTGGGCTTTTGGCATCTCTGAAACCTGTAATAAAATATATACACATATACTTTTAATTTCATTTCAGTGGTAGTTGTATTGTAAAATCGTGATAGTTTCCTTTACATTTTATTTAAAATGAGACACGTCTTTCCATTTCCCTCTGTTATTAGTGTGTTCTTTAAAATCATTTATATGTAACTGTTATTTTACTTCTAACCTTATTTTAAACTGATGCAGATAGATCTAAGAAAGGAAGCTTCAGCCTTCCGTTTGTTTTAACGGCTCTCGCCTGGCTCAGCCAGTCATAGAGTTGGTTGTTATGCATAAATAGCCAAGTGTCCTGGGTTTGATAGGTATTTTAAACATCTGTATTTGAGAAATAGACCTGGTGTTATGTTTATACCCTAATAGATTACTACAGAAGAAATGGATTCATTTTAGGACACAATTAAATCCATGCCTATAAATTACCAATTGTAGTTACATGTATCCCACTATCAACAGGTATCATGTATGGGGTGTAAAACCTGGATGATTTGGGGACCAAGTTAATCTTGAAACATGGAACTTATGCATAAATGTGCGACGTCTTCTTCCAGAAATTTAAGAATTTGCCTTACCATTTCTATATATCTATATTTTTACATTTTGTTATATTGCGAAACAATGACTAGAATTACAGAGTAACTCTAAATAATTGAACTTCTCTTTAGTGATTTTGTTTGTTTTGTTTATTGAAAGCCATTAAACACTCAGTGTCTATGAATAAATTGTGCTGAGAATTCAGTGGATTTGTCTTTTTGGATTGCAGTTGTATTTGCAACTGGAGCAAAACTTTATTATTCTTTGCTACAACTTGATACATCCTACAGACATCTTACTTAATGCATCCTACAGACATCTTACTTAATATATGTACATTAATATTAAGTCTAACCAAAACTAAATTACATATTTGAACTAGTTGGTGCAAACACTCCACTAAACTGTCCAGTTTTGTCAAACCACTTTTGTTCTATTTAAAAAAAATTGGGGAAAAAATATTTTCCCCTTAATTCATCCAAATCAAGTTTGCACAGAAGAGAGACAGACTGTAAGCTCTGGGGTCAGGTTAGACTATCATTGCATGGACTTCATTCACAGTTGCCGGGTTAAGTTAGGGTTCAACAGGTAATATTCTAGGGCAGGTTTGTAAACACTGCAACATTCTAATGGTTAAAATGTGATTGTTCCAGATTATGTGTATTTGCCCTAGAATAGCACTTTGTGATAAATATGATCTTTTGTGTAGATGCATGTGTTTATCAAACATTCATGAAAACATTCTCTTTCAAGCAGGCAAACCAAGTTAGATTCACAAAAGATAATTTGCAAAATAAATGTTTTTTTCCTGTCTAAACATTTATGTATGTATTTTAATCTCCTGGTGAATATGCACCACAGAAATGAAAATTGAGTTTTCATGTAAAGGATAAGTGTTTTGTACACAAACACTCAGGACCTGGGAAAACACATCAGAAAAATATAAAAGTAAAATTGCCATAAGAGTAGAGTGAACAAAACAGTTTAGAAATCATTTATAAAATGCAGTTTGGGGGCTTTTTTTTTTTTTTATATAAGCGGAGCAAATAGCAGAAAGACGTCATTGGTTTCCACTGCAAATTCTCATTGAATCTGCACCTTTGTAATTAAAAAATTGATTGCATTGGCCAAAAAAAGAAAATAATTTTGTTATAATTGGATAATGAAGTTCTCCCTCCTGGGTTTTTTCAGCTCTTTATTCAGATCATTATATATCTTGTTTATAGCACTATTAATACATATGAGGGGGTCTCATATGCCATGACATGTATCACTGGTGCACTGTTACTTATGTGCAAGTGTGCAAAATGGGGTCTGTGGATCCATAGCATATGCGCCAAAGACATTTAAAGTTTATTGCATAAGAAGATGTCTGTTCCCAGCAGCCATCTTGAATTGAAAAAGACAGCTTTTAATGGAACACACCACACCTTTAGCAAGATTCATAAAGGCCTGTATGTATTTGAGAGATGTGACCAACTCCATAGTCTTTTTTTTTGTTTCCTTTGTGCATTATTCCCCAAGAAACTAATTATGTGCTTGCAGTACAGTCCCTTTTCTTTGGCCATCTTGCGTTAAATCTGATGTGACATGGCAAAATGCAGATGTTTGAAGCTTTCTCTTTTTACATAGTTTTCCAAAAATCCACTTATCAATCAAGAATATTTTCATTGCATTTTGATTTTTAAAGTACTAAACAGGCAAATGATCTCAAGCAAACAGGATTTATACACTTCAAATCAGCAACCTTTACATAAGAAAATATAATTAATCAAACTTGCCAAGTGGCGGTTACCCAAACACAAAAGCAAAAAGATCTTGAGTAAGGGTCTTACTGTAATAAGCTAAGGCCAATCTGTTCATTTGTACCCTAATTAATGTTTTAGGATCGTGTGGGACACTTTGATGCACTTTAAATATTAGAAGGTTATTCCTGGTGACAGACACACATTGTGGAATCTAATGTTCACATGTCATTTGTGTTGTTTAAAATAACACTGTTAACTTTAAGTATATATGTATCCATTATTTAAATTTTTGTCTCATAAGGAAATGCCTATAGTGGCTGTCAGCCTGATTGGCTTTGTGCAAATCTAAATATTGCCTTTTTTTTTTTTGAACCAGTAATGTTTTACATTGTAAGAAAAAAAGGTCAGGGCAGTTTTGGTGCCTAGATTGTCAGTTTAGCCACTACCCAGTAGAGATGGAACTTACTCCCCATGTGGAGTTATAGCATTTTTCCAACTGTGCATGCTTTATTTTAATTTTGAGGTTCAGTTTTCAGTTCACTAGAATCCAGTGTTAAATGAATAATCCCCATACAATCTCCATAAAATAGAATGTAGATATATAAGTGAGCCAAAGAGGATAACTGTACAGCCAGTAACAGTTGCAGATTCTTGTTCTTGGTACGGTCAGCTTTTATCCTTCTGAGGGCTATGAAATGAGTATCATTAAATTGGATGACAAAACCACCTAGATTCATGGATGTGCTTGGCAATTGGTAGAAGCTAAATCTGTACATGCAAAGTAGATTTGGAATGTAGATTTTGTTAATTCTTTATATTATTAGGAAGAGTATAACAGCATACCAACAAAAACAGTTCATTACATAACAGCATCCCATATATAGAAGCAATATAACATTGCACAAGGTGCTAGATTGAATTATGTTTGATGCATTAAAATATATAGACAATTGCCAGAGATGTGAAAAACATATGAGTTAGTAAAGGTAATATACTTATGTTCACAAAAGCCAAAATATGTACAAGAGGGCTGTACACTGCCAAGTACAATGCCCAATCACCTGTACACTGTTAAATACTCTATCCAGTTGGCTGACACTGTTAAGTAGAAAACAATAATATATAAGGGATTATCAAAAAGTAAAAACCAGTAATCACATATGAAATAATAAATCCATCCCACATTGTTTAATTGCTGCTGCTAGCTGCGGCAACGTCTCTGCTTGTAGTGCGACACATCCAATAGAATCAGCCAAGACCAGCCATCGACTGAAGGACAAATAGTGTAATGGAATCAAAGTCCGGTATAGTCTTTAATGACCACACATATATCATCTTTAAGTCTATTATGGCAAATACAGCTGAAAGTAAGACCTAAGTTTGCAGTCCGTATCTATTAAAAAATAAAGCATGAGCATTACTTGTCTCCTGTTCTACAACGAACACGTTCAGTAGTCTCAAATAAGACGTTTTTATAATGTGTAGTATGTTTATTTACGCATTAATCAACTTTTTCTGTTGTGCTGTGCAGTGGTGAAAAGATTAGAATCTTAAGAAGGCTTATTCATACTTAAATTATGCAGTATGTTGACATTCTGCAGTTTGTGAAAGGACTGTTAAATATAAAATAATAAAGAAATATTAAGGGAATAGGATTAGTCTGCAAATCCTTTAATCATAGCTGTGATCCCATAGACTGCAAGCTTATTTTCTTTTGGCTTTTAAAAGAAGAAACTTGCTTATAATTTAGATCATGTTGACAAACAGATTTTCTTTATAATCATAAACTGACGGAATATTGTTTTGATATTTAATATCCTTACGTTTTGCTCCAGCTGCATAACAATTGTGCATTTAAAAAAAGAACAAATGTATTCAGATTCCTGCATCTTGAAATGCAAAATGTTGTAAGCTCTGCAACAATAAAGCATTTTAAAGGTTAATTGGTAGATAATAAATGGAACAAGCAATTATCACATTACAGTGTTGCCTCCACCTGTCTATATAGCCATGTATATTGTCAATCTGTTTTATTTAAACTACCAGCATTTGCACCCAGACCACTTTTTTGCTCCCACAAAGGAAATTATTGCCATTGATAGAGATAAGACAATATTTACAATGAAAGGCTAAACACACCTCTAGTAACCATGACAGCCACTAGATGGTTCTTCTGCAGGGACAAGTGAGTCAGTCTCGATTTTAGACATTTGATGTCCTCATGTACTGCATGATGACGTTGAACATTAATTCAATGCTTCTCAGAGAAACACTGGATTCGGTGATCTTCTAAGAAAAGCATTTGATTGGTGCATTGTGGCAAATGCCAGCATGTGCATTAAGTCTATAATGCTTCTCTATGAGAAGCATTTGATTTGAACAAGATGGTCAAAAAGACTGATGACCCCAGCAGTGGCGGAACTGACTGCAGAGAAGAGGCAGTCTTTGAACTGCGTTACAGGTAAGTTATGGGTTTTTACTTGCTGTGTTGTTACAAAAGGTGGCCCTGTAATATATATAATCCCACTAACTGTTTGGGGCAATAAAATGTTATGGAGCACTATAGAGTTCCTTTAAAAGTCCACCTGTGATTCTGCAGAATCGGTGTCAGCACATGAGTCTTATCGGTTATCCTTTTTTTTTTTTTTTTGTAGTTTCATTGTTACTGAAATATTGATGGCTTGATATACCATTTACATGGTGATATTAAATGAGGTTGTTGACTGTTGCTAAAATTATGCAACCTTCTTTGACTAGGTAGGTGGAAGAATCAAGGATCTTCTTTGAATGAGTGAGGGGGGAATATTATAATTGTGGAGTTCATTTGTTCAGAACAAAAAGTTTTCTGGAAATGTGACTGAAATTGTGTCTACTTTTTAGGATTTCATTGTTTTGCAGATTCCTTTAAACAATAGTTTACTTTAGGATGAGTAATACAGGCACCAACGAATTAAACAGTTATAAATTATGTAACATGGGCAGAAGTAACCTTCTTGAAACACAATACATTTTATTTCCATCCACGAAAAGCTTTACTCAAAGGCCAATTTGGGATGATTTATAAACCTACGTAGTTTATGACTAATTTGGAGTGTTTCAGGCAGACTTCTTGCTTTCCTCACCCTAAAAATAAATGTTTCCTGTCTGTGTGCCATTGTTGAGAGCACTTGAACTATACTCTCATCTACATCTGTTGTTGATTTTTAAATTATTAGCTTGAGTCAATTTGAAATCCCAGGAACATTTTAATGTATTTTTTCTTTTTAATGTGTATTCCCTGTGCTTTATTGAGGTGTGTGTCGGGGATAACGATTCCAGTACTGGCCTACATTATGGAAAATGAGACTTTACTACTCTCCTAGGCTGTCTTGATTTTAGAAGGTGTCTACACTTCCCCATCTTTCTTGTATTGTACATAAAATGTTTTAGGATCGTAGGTGGTAGAGACCAGGATTATATTAAAACTATCATCCCCCGTAGCTTGAGATGAACAATTAGTAACAGCAATTTCTCATTTTTTCTTATTTTTTTTTTTATTTCATAGTCATGCCCATAGTCAAGCAGGAGAATTTATGTTATGTTTAAAGGACCACTATAGTGCCAGGAAAACATACTCGTTTTCCTGGCACTATAGTGCCCTGACGGTGCCCCCACTCTCAGGGTCCCCTTCCCGCCTGGCTCTGTAGAGAGGAAAGGGGATAAACTTACCTTTTTTCCAGCGCCGGGCGGGGAGCTCTCCTCCTTCTCTCTGCCTGCAATCCTCCTCTTCAGCTGAATGCACATGCGCGGCAGGAGCTGCGCACGCATTCAGCCGGTCTCATAGGAAATCATCTTACAATGCTTTCCTATGGACGCTGGCGTCTTCTCACTGTGATTTTCACTGTGAGAAGCACGCAAAAGCCTCTAGTGGCTGTCAATGAGACAGCCACTAGAGGCTTTGGAGGCTGGATTAACCCTAATATAAACATAGCAGTTTCTCTGAAACTGCTATGTTTATAAAAAAAAGGGGGTTAATCCTAGAGGGACCTGGCACCCAGACCACTTCATTAAGCTGAAGTGGTCTGGGTGCCTAGAGTGGTCCTTTAATCAATCAAAATGAAAAGCATTGAGTAATATAGATGGATTATCTTCATGTGGTGATGTAATGTGAAAATAGACTTAATCATAAATTGGAAAAAAAATCTTCAATTCTAAGCATTGCAGATTTTTTCCAGCTATGATATTTTGTCTGTTTACTAACCATGTGTCCTTAAAGGGATGCCATGTATTGGAAATAAACTCATTTTTATTCCATTACAAGTAATGCGTAAAATATCAAATAAGTGAAAAAAAAGTTTTTCTTGGTGTCAAAGTCCCTAGGAGCAGGCTTAGAGTTGCAGTGATTTTTCCAAGTCTTTGCAGTTATAAGTCCCTATTTGCATTGAGACATGAAGCAGTGTTTACCTTGCATCATAACCATCACAGTGATGCAAAATTGTTACTGCTTAGAGAGTATCCCTTTAATTAGCTAACTAATTTTCAGTGCAAAGTAATGATACAAATAATGACTGTTTCTAAAATGTAGCAATTTCTAAGCTTCTATCACAGCGTCACAGATAATTTTAAAATAATAGACTTGATGTTAGTTTCTCCTTTAACAAGCTCTGCATGTGACCAAATAATTTAAACACATCTTTAAACATTTATTTAACATTTAACAACACTAAGTGGTACATGAAGGGTTTAGTGGGTGTGGGATCAGAGCAATCTGTCATTGTGGGTTATGCCCTTCGAGAAATAATGTTTCAAAATAGAAAAATACTGCATTATGGATAAAGAATTAACCAATCATGAAAATGTGGCAATTTCCTACTACTGAATACAAAATGAAATGGTGAATATAAATGGATAACACAATGTTACATAGATCATGGGTCAGTAAGAATATATCATTTCTGTACTGATTATACCAATAATGGCCCAACATTAAAATAATCAACAATTTGCAAGTGCACACAAGAACACACCACCATTTCAGCTCAATTTAATCTCTTTGGAATTAATGATCTACAAGTTATATTGTCATTTGCTGACAAAAGTATTGATTATATCAGGGCCAAATAAGTTATATAAGACAAATCGCAAATAAAACTGCATGAAATTACAATGCATGTCCAAAAATGTACTAATTCTATATGCTACTTCCGTGACTTTCATTTATTTTATGAAAACATTCCAGGCCAAAGCACTGTTCTTCAAATACGCAAAAAGACTTATCTTCATGCATTATACAGTAGTTCCTTTAAGCACAAGAGCCGCTGTATATTGCAAAGTATAGATTGCTGAAGGAAAAATGCATCAAGCTCTCATGGGAAATGCAATGTGCTAAATATCTATGCAGTAGTTTGGGTGTCTAGATAAGAAATGTTCTCTGTTTTACAGCTTAACCCTATCTGACTGTCATCATTGTGTGTCTACAATATATGAATGTTTTCATGCATGTCTTTCTTTGTCTGTCTTTCTGCTTTGTATTACTGTCTACACTAAGTGGCTGATTAAAAATTTCACTCCAACCATGATATGTATCTGGAAATGTTGTCATCGTCAGAAATATAAGAATACCTTTTTTTAAGTTGCATGAGCTTCCAAATTTTACTAAAACACTTAAAGTAAGCAAACATCAAGTATGAAAAATATATATTGTAAATTTGCTACTGAAAAATGGATTCTGAAAAAAAAATTGCCAGTGCCAGGTTTCAAAGCTGGTCCAGACCTTAAAACAATGTAAATTTTCCATATTTAATCATATGAGCACAGATGGACAACTTTTGGAAATGTGACTTGTTGCAAATTAAAGGAACCATGTAGATCTGTCATCTTGATATGTTCTTGGAGTCTCAGTGTGAAAAACAATATATTATATATTAAAGTATATATGAGCTGGTCAGGTCTGAAGTAAGATGGGTAATCAGTTTTGAGGAGGTGACCTCTTGTTTCTTTAAATATATAGTGCCCCCCTGCCCCCATTCTCCCACCCCCGATAAAAAGCTTTGCTGCTTTGAAATGTTTTGCAATTTAGCCAACTTTTAAAAATATATTAAAAAAGTAGATGGTAAATCCATATGTGGTTAGTATATTTCGCAACTTACTTGCATCAAGGTTCACTGACTAAACAACTATTCTAGTGTGATAACACATCTATTTTTGTTTATACTTCACAAACAAATATATGAATGTATACACAAAAAATACAAATATACTAACTATATTACTATCTCTACCTAAAATGTACTAATTTATAAAACCTTAATAGGTATTCTATTAACCAGCTAGGAACTCAGACCTTGTAAAGATTCCCCCTTTCCCAATAATTTTATCCACAGTCATAGCATAAAAATATATGTCCTGATACTATGATATTATATGCTCTACTTTGCATTCTTGCAAAAACCTAACCAACTATCCGGTTTATATGTTGAATATAGAAGGAGATAATTAATATCCAGGCCGTGCTGTTTCGGTGAAAACATGTGGGATGGTAATTATAGAGTTAATTGTAATTTCATTTATTGACCTTTAGCCAATAAAGTGGGTAGCGATTTCCCATTGCTATTGAAAGGCTCACATAAATAGACTTGAATGACTTCTCAGCATGATTACATGAGTGGTAAATATCTATCACAAAAATCACATATGCTAGTTTCTATATAAAGATACCCCATGTGCTGTTACAATTATCTACCTGCATTACATGCAGATTAGTTGCTCTAATCAGGTATTTGGTTCATGGTTGACATTTTGTGGAAAAATAGTTTGAAAACGTGTGAAAAGAGTCATCCGTTTTTGTTTACTTATTTTTATGACGGCTCACTGCACAAAATCCTGTGTGTGGATATTTAGTTTCGTAATTCTACTTAACTACCAGTTCAATTAAAATTAATTGCAAATATATTTGGGTTGAGATTGTGATGATCAATGTTATGACATTTTGTGAATCCTCTTTGAGTTCCACTCTTCTGCCTCAGAACATGAGGCATTTATGGCTGAAATAAAAATATGCTTTGAAAATGTATGTGTAACCAACCTTAATCATGCTTGGATTTTTTACAAAGGGTTTTGTATGATGTAACTGTCTTTTCCGAGTTTAAATCGCAGCTGACAACATTAGCATGCACCACAATATGTTGCATGCTCAAAGACAAAGGTTTATATCAGATTCCACAGTGTTCTTGGTCTTCCTGAATGAAGGGAAGTGGTTTAATATACAATGGATGTAAAGAAAATTAAAAGAATAATCATATACCAAACTTTTAGATTTGACTTAAATAATGGGCTTATATATATAATGATTTGCCTTGACAATCATATGTACGTATCAATATGTCTATCATAATATGCTAAAGGGATGCCTGACTGTTTTCTCAAAATAAATCCCTTTTTTTTCTTTTTTTATTCTCTCTTCTATTGAGTGGTTAATGCATCATACAATACAAGACAAATAAAAGGTGAGTCAGGCAACATATTAGTGAGAAGGTTATAGCTCGTATACATATGTAACTGGTGGTAATCAGAGTTTGCCAGCAATGCGTAGTAAGCATTAAATCACAATAGAGTTCACCTTTTTTTAGAGTTAGAAGGCTAGACATCGTAAAGCCTGTATAGCATTTTCAAACAGGTTAACCAACTCATTTTGTATATAGTACATGACTAGTTGCAAGTTTATTAGCATTCATGTCACAAAGAAAAACGAAAATAAGAAAGCAAGAAAAGAACCATCAGGTTAGTTATTGTATGCATACCATTTCCTGGTGTGTGTGAGGAGGTGTAGATTCCTTGTGTTCCGCAGAGGTGTGCTGACCATATTCCTGCTGATGCTGTACCAGATGCCACCATCTATTTTGGGATTGCTGCTGTACTTGCAAGAACACAGAAAACTAATATAAAACTATAAAACAGGTTTTAAACATGAACTACCGCCCATTCCGTGGGGTACCACTTTTGTGTGGTTCATTGGTAATTATCTCCTTGTCACCAACAGTGGTGAAGTGCACTGAGTTAGTGCTTCTGGTTCAGAGTCTAAGTTACTGAGTCCTGGACCCTGGATGGTACAAAAGGTGGTACATTCAAGACATCCCACTGATGAGTGGTCGGGGTTCTCGCTGGAGCTTCTGCGCCCCCCACGAGGCCAAGTGCTGTGATGAAAGCTGGGGCGTCTGGTGGAGATGCTGCTTTGTATGTCTTCCCTTCTTTGAGGATCATCAGCGTGTGGGATGCAGACCAACGATATGCCACTCCAGCTTTTTGCAGCTTCTTTGTTATAGGCTGCATAGCCTTTCTCCATAGTAACGTGGCTCGGGTGACATCTTGAAAGAAAGTGAGATGGTGAGTTTCAAAGTCCAAAGGGGCCTTGGACTGGACGGCTTTCGTGAGCCTTTGCTTGTCCGTGAAGGATTGGAATTTGAGTATAATGTCTTTTGGTGAGCTCGCTGGGGCACGTGTGGACCTGTTAACCTGATAGGCCCCATCCAGCAGCAGTTTAACCTGTTTGGCAGGTAGGACTGTGGATATCAGCCGCCTGAGGAAGTGTGGCAATTCCTCTGTGGACACTGCATCAGAGACTCCGCAGATTTTGATGTTTTGTCGCCTGCACCTGTCCTCCTGTAGGGTGAGGTTTGCATTTGTTGCACAGTGTCACCCAGGAGTTCCAGGCCTTGCTTGAGGTCAATGACATCTTCTTCGGTGGCCAGGATGCTGTCTGTGACTGCTTGGACCTTCATTTTTACCAGGGCAATGTCAGCATCAAACAGCAAACAAACGTATGCCTGATCCTATAGTGCTAAACCCACCATTTAGGTGCCATGCCTCCCTTGGCCTCCCTATAAAAGTTTAAAACTCACCTTATTTCCAGTGCTGCACGGGTCCGTCAGTGATGGCTCCGCCCCCTTCATGACATCATCAAAATGGCCAATTTTTAGCCAATCCATTGGCTAAAATCGGCACAGGGACAAGTGCCAAATGCTGTTTTGGCCAATCAGGACCTCCGCATACAGATGCATTGAATCAATACATCTCTATTAGGAAAATTCAATGTCCCCATGCAGAGTGTGGGGATACTGAACGGCAGGGCTGCTTATTGTGCAGCTCTGAGCCAGGAATCCCTCCAGTGGCCATCTGAGGAGTGGACACTTGGAGGTGTCCCTAGGGACAATATAAATACTGCCTTTTCTCTGAAAAGGCAGTGTTTGCATGAAAAAAAGGCCTGAAGGGAGCTATTATACTCTCTTGTCCTAGTGACCATAGTGTCCCTTTATGTCCTTTTTAAAAGCACACTATTGATTTTGTTTTCTGCTCAGTACCTCTCTAAATCTTTCTTGAACCCTTTCACTATGTGAGACTAACACTTTTGCTGAAAGACTCCTCAATAAAATCAACAACATTTTCCCTAACTTTGGATTGTGTTACTTAGCAAAGGTTCCCACTGAAAAAATACCTAACTTTCTGTAAATATGTTTACGCCAAATATACTATTTCATAAACAATACAACCTAATGAATAAATACATGGAATGCAAAACAGCTGTGGAAGGAAAACGTTGTTAAAATATTTAATCAGAAAAGGAAAATAGCTCTGCAACATATAAGAGAATAATTAAAGGGATACAATAGTCACCAAAACAACTTTAGCTTACTATAGCATTTTTTTGGTGTATAGATCATGCCACTGCAGTGTCCAATTCTGTACAATTTAGGAGTTAAATTGCTTAGTCTCCCTACACATGTCTTGTAAAGAAATATTTAAACTTCCTTTATTGCACAGTACGTTTAAATTCATATATCTTATCTACTCTATTACTAGCCTGCAGGAACCTCTTGTGTGACTTTAAAGTTCAATTAACAGAGCAGGCAATTTTTAAAAAACAAAACTTCTAATTAAGTTAATATCTGATTGAAAATCAAACCATTTGTCATGCAGGCTCTCAGTCACAACCAGGAGAGGTATGGCTAGGTCAGTATAAAATAGAAAGAAAAGTGATTTAACTCCTAAATGACAGAAAATTGAGTAGGGAGACTGCAGGGGCATGACATATACACCAAAATCACTTCATTAAGCTAAAGTTGTTTTGGTGCCTATAGTATCCCTTTAAATATACTTTATCAATAGTGTGTCTCCCTTGGGAATTTGTAAGCACTTATTGTGTACTAGCTGTCCCAAAAAAGTTAGTTGCCTCAGCAAGACAGAAGTAGAGGTTCAAGCTGGTTAAAGCAGCCTAATAATATTGGCATTATCCTATTTTGGAAACTTAAAATTATTAATCTATTTTTGCTTGGAAATATATTTAGAAACTTGCTCACCCTGAAATGCTCATAAGGTGTTACTGTGCTCTATAGTTTCTCCCTGTCAGGTTAGAGGAAGATATTTGGAGAGAGCTATTACAGTGCTGGATATTACGTTGGTCTTGGTCTTTAGAGATTATCTCACTAGTGTTGGAATTGTTATTTTGGTTGTGGTATGTCCTTGTAATACCTGCAGCGGCTAGTATTCATTCAGCACATTCAACAGAGTTAAAGCCTAACATTCAGGTTACTGAGGTAAGTGGAGCTACTGTAAACTTAAAGGGGGCTGTCAATTCTCATGTAAAAAATTTAACTAAAATACAACTACAATAAATAAAAAGGTGCGTACATATGGTTTTACAAATAGGTATGCTCTAAACATTTTGTGAAAAAAGCAGCTATAGCATTAGTGGGTATTCCCCCTGTGTTCCACAGCAAACAACCCACATTTTTAAAATATACAATTGTTTGGTGACCCCTTCCCAAATAAAGTTGTGAGTGGAGTGCTCAACAGTATGCTGGACTTACCCCTATTTTACTTGATTTTTCTTTTGACCACGTGAAAAATAAAAAAAAACAAAGTTCAAATAATAGTACTAATAAATCTTAGTGATACTGTAAATACAATGTATTAGTGGAGCCTAAATGAAGTGACTCTGATCAAGTGTTTCCGTGCCAGGGCATACATTGCAAATCATGAAGAAAAAAAAAATGTCCCCCCTCTCCCTCCCACCTCCAGTTTTTCTCTTCTCTGTATATTTTCTCTATGCTGACTGCCAGGGGCAGTTATCTTAGGGCAAAGCTTATAGCAACGAGTGGCAGGAAGCTAAGATGGAGGTGCCCAACTGCATGATAAAGAGGATTTTTTGGATTACTACATTTTATTTTTCACACCTCACATATTTGTTACAAATAGGGAATGGGTAAACATAGCATTAGAAATAATGGTAAATGATAGTTCCCCTTTAATGAAGACACACATTTTTCACAACATCTACCTATCCTTTTGGTGTCAAAATGAAGATAACTATCTATAAGCTCAGATAGCTGACCTGCCTTAACCAAGAAAATGTCATCTACATATACACAAGCAAACCTGACTGATACACATATGTTTAAGTACCAACAAAATGTTTGTGGTAAGCTGGTTACCACAGTACAGAGTGTGATGTCACTGATCAGCATTGTGACCTACTGCTCAGTAGATAGAACTCACTTGTGTCAGTTCACGTCATACTGGTAACTCATTTTTCTACTTTTCCATTAGCTGCATGAGTTGTTGTACTGCTCTGTATTTTTCTGTGTATTTATTTACGTTTATGTTTCAATGCACCTACTACCGGTAATTGTTTTCTATATCATATGGAATTAGTAATAATTTAAATAAGAATTACAATTAATGTATGCATAAAAAATTAAAGTTCAGGTGACCATTGAGTGTGTTGATGAACATGAAAACAAGAACACTGTAAGGATTACTCACGCAAGTATACAGTTGCAAGAAAAAGTATGTGAACCCTTTGGAATGATATGGATTTCTGCACAAATTGGTCATAAAATGTGATCTGATCATCATCTAAGTCACAACAACAGACAATCACAGTCTGCTTAAACTAATAACACACAAAGAATGAAATGTTGCCATGTTTTTATTGAACACACCATGTAAACATTCACAGTGCAGGTGGAAAAAGTATGTGAACCCAAGAGGAGACCTTCTGATAGATAAAAAGAAATCAATTAATAAATCATTCGAGTTTTCATTCCATACCAAATACAACTCTAAAGCTTTTTCTATCAACAACATTTTTAGAAAACACTGGGACATTTTGAGACATGACGAATATATAGGTCCCCTATTACCCATACATCCTCAAATTGTATATAGGAAAGGGAAGAATTTCTCTTCCTATTTAGAACCCAGTTATTTTTCGAATCAGAGATCTGGTAATCTTGAGGGGAATATGGGATTCTATACTTGTGGTACATGCAAAGCATGTAGAGGATTACCGTCCTGTACACGTTCTTTTTCGAGTTCTATTACTCAAGAAAAATTTAAGATCCAAAGACGTGTTACCTG